TGCCTCATGGTCAACTTGTCGTCCACCATGACACCCAGGTCCCTCTCTGCGGGGCTGCTCTCCAGCAGGTCCACCCCTAATCTGTACTGGTGTCCGGGATTATTCCTGCCCAGGTGCAGGACCCTGCACTTGCCCCTGTTGAACCTCATGAGGTTTCTCACTGCCCAGCTGTCCAGGTCCCTCGGGATGGCAGCGCAGCCCTTGGGATACCAGCTGCTCATGCTCCTGTCCCGTGGAAAGGCTGCCAGCCCACAGCCCTGCTGCACCGGGAGTGCTTTGCCGTGCTTGTGCTCRCCGTCGTGTAAACACTGGGGCAAATGGGGCTTATTTTCTTTCTGCTACTATAGATTTTTCGTTAATCTTTGAGTTGTTTCCGTATAGAAATGTAACCATTGTTGTCACTGCTGCAGCTGGGCCAATTTTGAAGCACAAACGCTCATTTTCGCAGCACACAATAGATGCATCCATGGAGACTATTAGAAGATCCCACCGTGCTCGGAAATCTTGCGTTAGTTTACATCAACTTTTTCTTTGTCATACATATCACACAATCATAAAAGGAATGGGGGATCACAGGAAGCTTAACTGATTGTCGTGCATTAGTTTAACTCATGTAAATCTGCATGTGAGCCTGCCTCTGTAAAAACAGTGGGGGTTTTATGAGGTGTGGGATGCTCTGAGCATTTCCATTAAGTGTTAYTTGCTATAACAGATTATCTTTATTATGCTGTGCATTTCTATTTCATAACATGCTTTGTTTTTGTTAGTCTGTTGAAAATAATAAAACAGATTACACTAAACAAGAGCTGCCCAAGGATAATAACAAGGTCTATAAAAAGAGAAACTCTCCAATTATGGTTTACAGTACTATTAAATCATAAGAGATCTTATAAAAGGTTGGATGAGTCTTTGTGTGCGTAAGTGGATAAAAAGCAGTATATTAGAGCTTGGGGTGCTGGTGATTATATAACAAAGCTGGCTTTGGGTTTTAAAAATGGAATTGGCTTGTGAGCCCTTATTGTTGTGGCGTAGTCCCCTTCGGTTCTGGCTCAGTGAGGGTGAAGTTGCTGAATCCCATTGGTTTCCAGGGCTTTTTAGGTGAAAGCCCAAGGAGATGTGTCCCTGTGTGACTGGTCTAGARGGAGAGCTGATGCCCTTTGCTAGAGAGCAGCCGAGTGCGGAGTCCAGCTCTGCAAATGCCACTGCTCCACTGGGGGCTCTGGGGACACAGGGGAAGTGCCTAGTGGGGCATGTGGGGCATTTTCTCAGCTTTAACTATAAGCCAGCCTTCCTGTGATAAGGCAGGAACCACTTCTTTTGGAATATCTCCTGCTTTGGTAGGCAGTTTTGGCAGTGCTGTGCTTGGATATGGCTCAGCAAGCCATGAGTGCTGTGACAGCCGACTTCTCCGGAGGAGCACAGTGCTCCACGCTCTTGTTTCTGACAGTTTTTTCTACTGATGATGGTTTAGGTGGTGCAGCTCTGATGGAAAATGCCTGGGATATTTCCTAGTATCCGGAGACTGTTCCGCGGTATACTTGTTCTTCCATTCTTTTCCCTGGAGGCTTTTGAGGACCTTTGCAGTCTCCACTTCCCTGCAGCCTTAGCACGTTCTTTCCCTTCAGGGATGCTTTCTGACTGCAGGATGCAGCCACGCACGTGGGTGCAGTTTTGATCTGCAATTTCTCTCCCATTTAACWGCACTACAAAACACTTGTGCCAGGCAGTGAAGGGTCATACCTGGTGTTGCCAGTTACTTTAACCCTTTCTAAGCTCTTGCTCCAGAGGGAAGGAGCACGTGTCTTGCTCCCCGCTAGATCCACACGTGAGCTCATCCTAGGAGTGTGGTCACTTGTTTGATTCACAGAGTTAGTCGGCTACCTGCAAGTACCTTTCTGGCTTGACAGACAGTTCAGAAAGTCTGGCCAGCCCAGAGCATATGTTTTCCTAGCTGAGCTCTCTTCCAAGGCTGCAATGTTTGCATCGAACAGGTCGTGCTTCTGTACACACAGATGTTGCACTCTGTACAGAAATGGCTGAGGTTCTCTTGCTGCACATTGGAGAAGATAATAGCGTTGGTGCCTTTTGGGCACCTGTGGGGCAGTTTAGAGAGGATCAGCAAATGTCCCTCGCATGGCAGAGTGCTGTTCTTGTCCATGARCACTGTGTTGGAGAATTGCCACTTCTTATCAAAGGCTAAGTKTGATATTCCTGTCTCCATTATTCCTCCTCTGCTTGCTGAGCCATAACTATGTAGTTATTGTAACACTCTGCTAATAACACCGATACCCATAAATAACACAAAGGTTGCATCTGTGCAAGGSTATTAAAATTTAAGAAGGGACAAGTCTTTTTGGTTGATTAGCTTAGATTCCCTCCCTGCTCCGTGCAGAACGAGCTTTATTGCTGCTCTGCTTTGGAGGGAATTTGGCTTTCCGTAGCACGCTGCCTTTTTCCCCTGGGGTGGCCGAGCGTGCGGCGAGCTTGGTGACATTCCTGTGACTCGAATTAGAGCTGCTTGGAGCCCTAGATTTGCTCACCCCTGTTGGCCGTGTAATAAACTCAGTCACTGTTAACATTTCACAATCATTCTCCTGGGATTGTTTCAGGACAAAGGAATGTTTCCTTCATTGCCATTTGCCCTAATTTCTTATGACAAAGAGCTGCAGCAGCAAAAAAAAAAAAAAGAAAAAAAAAAAGAAATAAAGACTGCTGTGAATATAGCACCTGCACACGTTTGCATTTAATGGCCATGGACCACCAGGGATGGCATTCAAACCACACACAGGGCCTTGCTCGTGCGCAGGTTTTGCGCTCCTCTGCTAGAGGGCTTGTTCCAATGTCATAGCGGTGTCCAGCTTGTGTTTTGTTACTGTTTTGCCCTGCTTTTACTTAAAAAGAATACATGGGAGAAGAGCCGTGTGGTGAGGCTGGCGCTTTCACATAGCTGCTTTCAGGACTTTGCAACGGGAAATTCTGGCCTCTTACAGCCCTTTTGGGCTTGGTGCTTGGCCCAGGAAGGGGCACGAAGAGCACAGTCCATCTTTGGGGTAGCTGCCCTAATGGGGACATCTGAGGGGACGGTCACAGGAGGGGTGACTTCCTACGGGCTCCTCGTGCTCGCTCTTAGGCCTCTGCTGCCAGATGGGAGGTTATGTTCAGACATGATCCAGGTGGACAGATGATTTGCACGATCCAGCTGATTTACAGCCAGAAACAATTAATTTGTATAAAGAGCTGAGTCTTGCAGGTGGTCCTTGCTGCTGTGAGCTGGTCTTGCAGGTGGTCCTTGCTGCTGTGCACATCTGCGGGTGCCTCCGGATGAGAATTTTGTTTAGCCTGTCATTTGGAGCAGCTTGACCCCTTTTTGGGCAGGGTGGCCTGTGCTGACCCTCCACCCTGGAGGGGTGCTCTGAAACCAAGATTTAGGCCTGGGGGTTCCYGCTGCTGCTGTGTATTTATAGCTGAAGCTTCGCCTGAGCATCTGTTCCTGTCATTTGCCGTGTTTTTATCGTCTGGTTCTGGTAGAAATGAGGGAAAGTGATGTGTGCGGCAGACCTGGCGGGGTTTGCAGGAGAAAATGAAAATAAACATAATAAAAAAAAACCTTCAAGTGTTCTTGAATCATGCAGACTGATGTCTTGTCAAAGTGCAGTTGCGTCAACCTGTGCTCCCACGTGAAAGGCCAAGTCACGCTAAAACGGCACCTCTCCCACATTCTGCCCCTTCCAGCAGATATTCCTGCACGTATTTCCTCCACAAATGCTGCAGGGGAACAACCGGAGCGCACAAGGGAGACTCCTGTATTTACAAAGAGCAAATGTTGCCAGGCCCGCACGGACCTCCTTGGGCTTGCAAAAATGGAGTTGTTTGTGTAGAGACAACCACTCAGTGGCACTGCTGCTGGACCACGTGCATTGGGGCAAAGCTGAAACCCTAGTAACAACGAGAGGAGAGGCTGCTATTCCTCCTAGGTGCTTAAATATATATGCGAAATAATTGGATTGATCTTCTTTGCTGGTTGTATTTATATGTGTATACTGTATGCATTCTTTTAATACTCCCAATTCCTGTGTTTTTGTATGAAGTCTTCATTATATAGAGACCCCAAGTCTATAGGGATTTCTCCCAATATACAGCTATGTTTAATTCTAAAGAGAGTCATCTCCCACTGCTCAGAAAGCAAAGCCTGTCAGCAGCTGTTAAGCAAGTTGGCTGTAAAAAACAGCGACCACAAAAAAGTGTCAATGCATGTTGTGGATTAAATGTTGTAACAGTTACTTGTTTATTTTCTTCTTATGGCAGCCACAAATAATGAACCCTAATTGTCTCATCAAGATTGAGCCTAAAGAGATGTTAGCCAGCCTAAGTCATTGCTGTACTTACCATAAAACTGATGCTGACTATTAAAGCAGCCTGGTTGTATAGACCTGATTTCAGTAGAGCACTTCAATAAATGCTTAGCCTTCAGTATGTGAAAGTATTTAGAAAGTTAAATGGGAATAAACGTGCCTGTAACTTCAAGCATATGCTCCAGCGCTCTGCTGAATCCTTGGTGTTCACAACCATCTATTCCATGGCAGAAAATAACTACCCATGTTGTAAAGCTGCCACGTGGCTGAAGCTGCTGAGCGAGGTGCCAGCAGAGAAATAGGACAAGTGGGACAAGCGCAGCCCTTCTGACACTGGGCTGTGTTATTGCCTGCCACAGAAGCACAAATATAGCTCAACGGCAGTAAACGTAATGTGACGGCACAAGCCTCTCCCATCTCTGTGTCGTGAAGTTTGCCAAAAGCAGCCACATATTTTAAAAGGAGAATTGGGGAAGTGGTTTCTCTTTAATCAGATAAGCCAGTAGTTCAGAGTAATTTTCCCTAATTAGTTTAAGAGCACTTGCATTAGAAGACTGCAAACAAGGCAGAAAAAAATGAAGTTGGAGCGCTTGGAAGTCGTCCTGCCGTTACAAGGTCGAGTTACGGTTCTGTTTTGTTTTCTTGCAGGCTAAACATATTATTGGCTGGAATGAACCCCTTCTACTTCCACGCAGTGAATGTAATTTTACACTGTCTGGTGACTCTTGTGCTGATGTATACCTGTGACAAAGCCGTGTTCAAGGACTGTCGCCTCGCTTTTGTCACAGCGCTGCTCTTCGCTGTGCATCCCATTCACACYGAGGCTGTAAGTATGTGACAGAGAGGCTAAAAATATATGTATATACCTTAAAAAAACAGAACAAACAAACATGGAGACATACAGGATTTGGTACGTGTGATATTTGCTTGGAGGGTCAAAGCTGAAAGCATGCTATATTTTAAATAATTGTCAGGAATCATTGAAAAAATAAGTGTATTAATACTTGCCATTTCTCTGCTCTGGTGCTAAATTTTAACTGACAGTCCCCATCAGTGATGCTAGGAGTGAATGGGCAGTTATTTGGATGACAAAAGTGCAGAGTGCCCCTGTTTCTTCCAACAGCAGCGCTTGGTGAGGCAGCTGGCGCCTGCTGAGACAGTGTTTCACGCCGTGACTCTTTTTCCATGGTCCTCAATTTAAGGGAGAAAAAGCAAAGGGAGCATTASTGTGTGTTGTGGACAAGATCGCTTAGATGTGATATGACCCATGGATTAATTTACATTACTCTCAATTAAAAGCTGGGAATATCGGCCTCCAAAGAAGCCATTAGTTTGATAGGAAAAACACTGGCAAGTTTACAGTGTAATAGCTCATATTGAACTCTTTCCTTTTTATTATATCTATTTAGATTATTTTTTATTATCTTTTTTATTCTTTATTCTTTTTATTAGAAGAAAACTTTCAAAGACATAGCCATTCCAAAGGTGCAGTCTCTGAGTAGCTTTGCGAGTTACTTTGTAGATAAAAAAGAGCCTTACTGTCTCTGAAAAGGACATGTGATGTCTAGCTGCCTGTACTTTAAAAAGAAATGCATTTTTTAACCTAAGATACTACTGCTATCATAGAGTCTTGTTGCAATCCTTTGTAAATTAGTGAGTGGAATGACTCCCCTGGCTGAGAACTTTTGAGGAGAGATTACCTTAATAACGAAAAGCCCTGAGCTTTACAGTTACTCCCTGCACCGTCTCGTGTGAACTCATCAGCCAGGGTCCTTTGGATAATACAGCTTTATGGCATAAGGGAGGTTTCAGAAGAGGCACCCTTTGAATTTGTTTTTGTCTGGGTCAGAACTTAGAAAGGTTAAAGTAAATGCCAGAGTGCTGAGGATGGCTTAATTGTGTAATCCCCAAAGAGGCAAAATTTCAAAGGGCCTTTTCTTTGCTCTGTGTACAACTTGTGCATCTTTATGGAATGAAATGCTGAAATATTTTGTAGTAAGGATGTTTATACGTTCTTGTTCAGTACTGCATTTCTTACATAAAAGAATTCATCAATTAGTAGCAAGACAAACTCTCCTAAAATAGATAGTTCAGGAAGAATTACAGGAAGAATAATTTATATAGCACTCTTTTACTTTTTGATGAGGAAGTTTGTTCAAATATTAATTAGTAAGTCTTTCTTATGCACTAAGTCTACTCCACAGACTTGTTCTTTCATAGTCTTTAACATATCTCAGTTCTGGGAGTTTAGATGTATCTCATTTGAGCCTTGTTATGTAAAATTAAAACAGATTCCTTCCCAAATGGAATTGCTCTGTGAATTTTATTAGTATCTTAAAAATAGCATAAAGAATGACTTAATTGTTGGATTACTCGTTTGTTTTATCAAGGGGGAAATGCAGCAGACAAAACAGCATATCCTACAGTAGACAAATAATGTTTCAATATGACGAGGGAAGATAACACTTAAAGATAAGAAAATAACCCGTGATACCAGTTGGAATGAATCATTGCAACAGATACTGAATATAGCTGCCTTTTTAATACCTGCTTTCACATCTGTGTGCTTCTTTTCCTCTTAGGTAACAGGTATTGTAGGCAGAGCAGATGTCCTGGCCTGTCTACTCTTTCTGTTGGCTTTTCTCTCCTATAATAGGTATGGATCTATGTTTGTTACATGATGAGATGCTCTGGTTCGATGAGAATAACCTGTCAGTTTTGGTTAATGTTGTCAGAGTTGCTTCTCCCAGCACTGTAGCATGTTGAAGTGCTTTGGTCCCGGCTTCCCCTCGCGCACCAAATTAATATTGCTGTAAAACTGAGCAAACATGAGAAGAGAGCTCAGTGTTTGAGATGCCCTCGTCTGCTGGTGTTTTTTAACTGGCGATGCGCCAGACAGGACTTTGTAGAGCTGGGCCTAAAATTATGAAGAAATGTTTCGACTAAAGGTAAATTGTACATGTGCAGTGAAGAACAGAATCACATCTGCTTTCAAAATACATCTTTTGACTATGGGACTCTGAAATAATGCATCTCATCAGAACTGTGAGAATGGAGGGCTTTCTCTAGTGAGGGTTATCACAGTGGTCCTTTTCAGTTCAAAACTACTGTTCTGTTCACTGATATGCGTCCTAAAACTGTAACTGAAAAGGTAGAAATTAAGAACTAGCTTTAATGTTGCACATGGTGTTTCAGCCCCTTTCATAGTTATTTTAATTAGGAATTGCACAGTGTCATCACGGTGGAATGGAAAAATAATGCCCTTTATGCCTCACCTGGGGTGTTTGATATACATATACCCTCCCATACGTACATACATATATATTTATATATGTGTAYGTATATCTCTAACACTGTTTATCATAAGTTTTCAAAGGAGGAAATTTACTTGTTACACCTTTAGGAGTTTGTTACTTTGTTTTTGTTTGTCTTTGATTCTTTCCTTTTCTTTCTTAGCTTCTTCCTTCTTATATGGCTTAGTGATGAGTTTTGTAATGATTTGGACACATTTAACCAAGAGAAGCATGAGTGGGATGAAGGGATTTTTACTTATATGGTGCATATTGTCACATAAATAAATCTAAGCACATGTGTTCTCTATGTTGGAAAGCAGTTGTTTTTCTGTCCCTTACATCTTCCTACTTATTCTGCTTTCTTCTTCTTCTTTGTCATTTTTTCCCCTTCTCTGCTCAAATTCTTGTTGCATCTCTTACTGCTTTACTGCCTAAAACTTTTCTTTTGTTTCTCTGTGAAGAGTAGATTATTCATGTCACTTATTACCATAGCCTTAAGAAATTAAGGCGAAGTGCCTCAGTATTTGTGTGAATGCAGTAAATATGAAACTAATAGTTGAAGGGTTTATATCCCACCTGTTTTTCAGGAGCGTGGATCAGCTTTATGTTGGGGAACATTTCCCTCCCACTGCCTCCCCATTCTTCTTGCTGCTTAGTTTATTTCTTGGGACGTGTGCAATGCTGGTGAAAGAAACTGGAGTCACCGTGTTTGGCGTATGCTTGGTTTATGACTTCTTTTCCCTCTCCTGCAATGGACTCAAACTGTAAGTCGCTTGCTCTACTTGCTGCCGTTTTCAAGTGTTACCACCTGTAGGTACAGAATATGTTGCTGTTTTTATATAGCACAGTGGGATATAGTCTTGCTGTGCTGAATTACCTGGCACATGTTTGACAAATTTGGAAGACCCCGAGATTTCATTCTGTTGACCTTTTTGTTATATATCTATTCTATATATCTTTTTGTTACTTAATCCCCGCCTGATACATTTGCTGGGTAAGCAGACCAGATTATTAAATGTATAGAGTTGATCTCTAAGAGCCTCCTTTCACTTACGGAAAGCTCTGATAAGTCTGACAATTTTTCCCTGTGAATTTTCACTGACGGCATCAACATCTTAGAAATCCAATGGCTTAAAGTCTTCCATTAGTAGCATCTACTTAATTATTCAGTCACAACGGCAATCACAGAAACATAATAGGAATGTAATAGCAAAATTGAGTTTGATCATTTCTGTCCTTATATAAAAGAAAAAAGGGAAAGTATCCAGTCAGTTTTGGAATAACTGGAATAATTAGCAACTATCAGCAGTCACTGGAGGAAAAATCAAATCCTTTCAAGCCTGTATCACTTACCCATTTAGTTGAGTACTTAGGGAGTAATTAAGCCAGCTTTCTGTGTGCCCTGTCTTCCCTCTGGATCCTAGCAGGGTTTGGACCAAAACTTGGCCCCTGCCCCGGCTCCTTTTGCAGCAGCAGCAATTGGAGGGCAGGGACGACAGATTGGCAGAGAATTCCTTCTGGTCTGGCTAGATAAATAATTCCTAGTCATGCAAACGATGGGCAAGCRGCCAGTGAGGAATTTTCCAGGGCCTCATGACCAGGACACTTGTGGTGCTCATGCTTACAGAGTGTCAGGTTTACAGGTGTTCCAGGAGCCGTCTGATTCAAGGTAACAGAAATGCTAATTAATCAGGGGAAAACCTGTGTATTCCTCCTTTCCACACCTCACCCTCTCCTTAGGGTCACATTCCAGCAGCCTCTTAAAGGCTTTTCCTTGTTTGGTTACATCCAGTAGCCCAGCCATAGCAGTGTACTTAGCTTGCAGGAGTGAGACTCTGTGGTGCAGATGTGCTCTGTTTAAATATGTACGTTAATTGTGTGTATCATGCACTTTGCTACTTGTTGTGGTACTCAAGATTTTATGGTTCATTTTTAAGGGGCAACAGAAAACCTGCAGCCTTCTGTGTGCTGCTGAGCCTCATCTCCATCAGTTCCTCCCTCCAGCCTGCCATTTTTCCAGAGTTGGTTGTTGATGTTTAAACAAGGCAGAAAATGTTTTTTTAGTTCCTTTTCTCTCTCTCTCTCTTTCTCTCTCTCTCTTTCTCTCTCTCTCTCTCTCTCTCTCTCTCTCTCTCTCTCTCTCTCTCTCTCTCTCTCTCTCTCTCTTTCTCTCTCTCTCTCTCTCTCTGTCTTTCCAGAAACAGCCTAGTTAAGAATTACAGTGGGTTCTTCCACTGCTTGCCCCATCACACGGGGCTTTGGAGGACCCCTTTTGTACCAGAGAGCTCTTCTCTGGTCTCTTACTCTAGTTAGAAACCAGTAAATTCTGCCTTTCCAGCACAKGAAGGCTTTATGTGTTGGACTAAATAAGCATGTGAAGCAAAGTTGAGATGGTAACCAGCCTTTCCTCGCTCTCCCCCGTCCTTTCTCCCCTGTGTGGTCAGGAGGAATGGCGGGATGCTGCAGAGGCCGGCCTGGCAGCCCGCGGCCGCGCCGTCGGCCTTGCCGCCGGTGCCCGTGTCTGGCCGTGAGAACGGGAAGCACCAGCGGGGCTTTGCCCACCGGAGCGCCTGGAATTCCTGCCCTGCCACGGCGCCCGGTGAGCCGCGCTCCGGCGGCCTCTCCGTGCCCAGCAGAGCCGTGTGGGCCATTCGCAGGTAATACCGGCTAGCAGCCGTGCCCGTTTCCTTTCCTTCTTTTATTTGTCTCCTACTTGGCATTTTGCACGTTCAGGAATGTTCAGTTTGCCCAGGTCTTCCTGGTGGCCCCTGCCCAGCTTGCCCGGGGCTGGGCAATGGGATGTCTTCTCGCCTGGCTTCCCAGGCTTGGCTGGAGCTCACRGTGTCGGTCTTGAACTCCGAGGCTCCCTGAGAGACTGTGTGAAGCTGGTATGGGAATTTAACCCAAGCGGGATATTTAATTTAACCTGCAGGACGTRCAAGTAGGTGTAATAGCTACAGATATGTAGAAGTAAATAATTTTATATACACATTGCCTTAAAAAAAAAAAAATCCAAGGCAGCTTCTTGACAACAAGCAGTTACCGAAAGCCTCATGAATGCAGAATGAAAGTGTTCTGGCCGCAGTGCTGTGGTGGTAAAGTTTGCCTGTCACACTGAGACCTTTTGGAGGTCTCTCTGGAACCCAACAAGGATTGTGTCCCTGGAGGAATCCACCTCATTTGGGGTTTGTTTTCCTCAGCCATTCTCCTTATAATGGAGTTCTTTCCTTCGAAAAGCACAGTTCGCTGTCAATATCCAAGTGATGCCCTCACTGTCTCTTTCGAGTGCCTTCAAGTATTACATGTTATTCAGTTTTTGAAGAGCCACCTAACTCCAGTGAGCTGATGGGCTTCAGTTATTCCTCCTCCTAGACATGCCATACTGCAGGATGGCGATTTCTGCATGTCAAAGTGATGCTATCTCAGTGAAAAATGGCAGCTCTTTTGGAATCAGCAGAAACCTTTGCTGCTGGTCTTTGGTTTTAACTACAAAATAGTTATGATTGCCCCACACTACCTTTTGCTTAGGTGGAAGTTCCCTAAGTAAATCAGAGATTATCTATTGCAGTTCTTTATCTACAGTTCATGGAACAACTGGTACCTGAACAGGCCCCATATAGGGGTCTAGGAAAGTCTAAGATATTTTTCTTCCCTCATAATATTCCCTACCAAACAATTCAGTAATGTCTGTTTTCTTTATTTTGTTCCTTTTAAATAATTTTATTGCTGTATCAATATTGATTGTATATAGACTGTTATATGAAATCTATAACTTGTCAGATCATGGGATATGTTTTGTCTCTATGTAGCTAAATGGTTCAACATACTCAAGAGCWTCCAAGCTGCAGAATGATGGTCCTTATATATATGTTTTTTTCATTAGTCTGATTTGCGTATGCTTGTTTTGTTTTTAATGAGGAGCAGAGTGGGTTTGCTGAGGTTGCTGCATCTGTGTGTGGGAACCCATGACAGAAAAGTGAAGAGGAGGTCAAGACTTTGCTCAGAGTGGCTGAGTGCCAGCTGCTCCAGCACTGACACTCTTTTGGCAGTTGGAAGAAGCTTCTATTTTTTTTTTTAATTTACTGCTTTTCCTATATCTCCAAATGAATACAGCAATTAGATAAGCCTGAGTGACAGCAGTTCTTTCTGATATGCCAAGCCAGGATGAGCTGTCTAAATGTATCTTTTAATATCTTGCCTCTAAATTTTAGTATCTGATCATTATTCCAGGAGTAATTCGAGCTCAGTCAGTGGAGCAGTGGCTGTTCCTGACCTTTGTTCTCTCCCTACTTCTTTGAGAGTTTTTTTTTCTCTGTTATTTGTAGTTGTTTCCTTTTACCATGATGGATATTATAATGGAGGGTGTCCATATAAGAAATGTCTTCTGGCTTGTGTCATCTTCTCATTCCTTATTTCATTTACCCCTCTCCCTTCACCCTACTGCTTCTTTCTCTGTCTTTGCTTTATGATTGTCTCAGACTTCCCCTTTTGGGACCTTCGTTTTTTTCACACCAAGGAAAGCCTCTCGTTTCCTAGCACCTTGAGGAGAGGCTGCCAATGTTGCGTTACAATGACCCTGCATGTGGAACAGCCTCAGGGGRAACTTGCCCAGGTGGCCAGCTGGCATTTGCTTTGCTGCAGCTCCTTCTTCAGTGTTTTAAGGGGTTCCTGCACATTGCAGGTCAAGCTCTGCATGTACATAACTATGTCCTTTTTGAGAAGGAGCTCTCATGGTATAAGCTACTGGGTATCTCCTCTCACTTGATTCTGTGCAAAGTAAGTCCGGTTGCCTGTTGTGTGATGGCTCTTTGTGAGACATCCAAAGTGCATTCAGCTTGATTCTCAGTGGTGGAGAGGGAAGACTGTTGTGGCACATTCATGTAGTGGTTATGCTTGAGAAGAAGGCACAGGAAAGGGTTGATGTGTGCTGCTCTATCACAGTGTGTCCCAAGGTTGTGCTGGAATTTCCTCTAATACGCACAGACTCACTCCCAGTAAAAGACTTCTTCTTTATGCTGCTTCTGTACATTACAGGAGATGGTCCTGATTTTGATATTAGTGGTCTCATCAGGGCCGTACACAGGAGTTTTGGCTTCTCAGGGCCTCATTCTGCATTGCCCTGCACTAATTCCTTCAAAGGATGGAGAAAGGAGCAGCAGGGTGGTGTAGCCACCCCATAGTGACATAGCCTTGGTCAAGCTTGATGGCAAAGAAGATCAGGCCCACTGGGTTTATGGTCATTTCTCCCTCAAGTGCTCCAACACTGTAGATATTTGCATTTAGGATTTGCCAAATAATGACAAAATATCACTGAAATGCTATTAGTGTTTCTTACCCATTAACTTGCTGYGTTGCTGCTGTAGCTAAGCTGTCTTCTGGCTGTCATATTCATTAAGTAAGAATTATCTTGATGTGTTTATCATAAGCCTAATTAGAAACATCTCTGGGGGCTGTCCAAATGCATCTTTTAATACGACTGCATAAACTAAGCCATTTGAGAGAGGAGACTTTTAAAATGAGCTGTCTTATCACAAGATATTTATTTGTGCAGCTGATATGAGTAATGTTACCGCTCCCCAAAGKAATCTTATTTTTAAAAGAAACTTCTCTAGGACGGTCTTGGCAACCTCCTTTGCTGGTGTTTGCCTAGCTCCAAATTCTTGTTTCCTCTGAAGGCAATATAAGGCCCGATAACATCTTGTTTGGGTGTGACTATGTTCTTGAAATGACAGCTGTAGAGAGCTTGAACAGTTTGACCCATGCCTGCTAGTCTCATGTTGAAGTTACTAGGCACTGTAAAAAATTGCTGCCACGAGTTTTACTATTTGAAGAGATCTGCTCAGTTATTAATCATGCTGAAGAAAGCTTACAGTTGTATGGGATAGCAGGATTATATACCACGGCTCTGTTGACTCTCAAAATGACATCCATATCAAATGGCGGCCTGTGGGCCACTACCTAGTCATGACTGTGGTCTTTCCCTTCCTTCCATTTGCTCAGTCCTTTCACAAGATGGATTAAAATAGTTTAAGCACTTTCTGTACACAGGCTTGCTCTAGTTGATATTGGCATATTATGTGACATAAATTAGGTAGCACATAAAATATTTACTCTATCAAATCATGGTCCATCTTAAAAAAGTGAATCTTTGTTATATCTGATAACAGATAGGAGAAAAATGTAGAAATTGCTGTCAAATATACAAAATYAGTTACTCTATTTCATCTTTTCCACATCAAAAGGAGGGGAAAAGATTTTAAACATTTCAAAAACTCAGAAGTTGGAGAGCAGACTGGACAAAATCATGTAGCTTCAAGTACCTTATTTAATGCACGAGGTTGCTAGTTGTAAGCTCTTTATTGAAAGAAAACAGTTGTTTACTGCTTAGTCTGTCTTCATAAGTAATTATAAATGTCATCAATTAGCTTCCCATAATTTATCATGTATCTTGCTACTAGAGMTAACAAAAACGCAGGAAAATGTAATGGAGGAGTTACGGGAATCATTCTAATTAGCAGCAACTACAGCTAGTTATGTAAAGTGTTGGTGTAGAGAGATTTCTATTCTTTATTGTCATTTACTGTTATCTTCACCCRTCCAGGGAATGTGTGGGCTGCAATTCTGTGTGAATTCAGGAGTGAAGGAWGAGTTAGTCTGGAAGAAAGTGTAGGTCTTCTCACCATAATTTATTGCAATTTGGGGGGTTTCTGGCATACACTACTGAAAGGAGGCAACTGGGTACTACTGAAAGGAGGTAACTTTTATCTGTTCCCCTGAGTTTTTGGGTTCAGGGCCTCCACGAGGCTGTAGTGACCATATGTTCTCCCACATGACACGAGCTGGGAATACAAGATGGGGATTTCCATGACAAGTGTCTAACTTATTTGGGTTCAAGCCAGAGCTTCAGTACTCTCCCTGGGATGCTACACATGAACATATATGAGATTGTGCTTATATGTGTCCTATTAAGCAGTGGTATCAGTACCAACACYTCTTTGCTAGATCCACAAAGACTTTTAGCAAGAATGATGTATGTAAAGCAACAAGTCGTCATAGCTGCTTGGGCAAGATGTGTCCACAGTTATGGTCCATCCTTCTCTTTTGATTTCTTTAACCTGCTGGAASCTGGAGATTGAGATCCATTTCTTGATGCATTTTTTTCTTTCAAGGCCATTGCAGCTGTAGCTGTGTCGAGTCTCATACAATTCGTGCCTTGCACTGATCATTGCAAAATGCTGTCCTGTCCTTAAGCTCTCCCTCCTACCACTTAGTGACCTGGTGGTTTCAGGTGCAGTATATTAATCTATGGCAAGCTCAGCACCAAAACTTCAGTCGTTCTTGAAAAACAAGGCTCCTTAGTATCTTGAATGCTTTTGAAACTGAAATTTGTGATTGCTTTTGGTGATCCAGAAACTCAGTTTTACTGTGTATTCTGTCAGTGTTTTAGCTGGTGAAATTCTTCCCTTAAAATTAACTGGTTGACTTGTGCACAGGGCTGTTACTTCCCATGTACATGACCTGTCGCTTACTTTATTTTTGTGTTTTTTTTTTTAATTTTATTTTTTTTTTGCCAGCTGACAAAATGGAAGAAGAAGCAGGAGCTACACCCAGCACTCYGACTTTAAATCCTCCTATGTGGGATTTAAAAGGGGGCTGT